TAAATGTTGAACCAGCCTGGTATACTTGGGTTAAATCCTACTGTGTTGTGATGTATAATTTTGTATACATTGTTGAGTTTGATTTGCTAATATCTTGTTGAGGACTTTTACGTCTACATTCATAAGAGATATTGGTTCATAGTTTTCTTTTCTTATATTTATCTGGCTTTGGCATTAAGGTTATGCTGGAATCTTACAATGAGTTAAGATGTGTTCCCTCTAGTTCTATTTTCTGGAGGAGATTATATATATATAAAATGGGTATCATTTATTTCTCAAATGTTTGGTAGAACTCACCGGTGAACCCACATGGGTCTGGTATTTTCTGTTTTGGAAGGTTACTAGTTATTGATCCAATTTCTTTAAAAGCTATAGGTCTGTTTATATTATCTATTTCTCCTTGTATGAGTTTTAGTAGTTTCTGTCTTTCAATGAATTTGTCTATTCCATCTAAGGTAGCAAATTTGTGGGTACCAAGTTTGTTCTTTTTTAATATTATCCTTTTATTCTTTCAATGTCTAGTAGAGATGACTCCTTTTCCATTTCTGATATTCATTTTTTGTGTCTTCTCTTTTTTTTTTAAATTTGACCTGGCAAGAGGTTTATCATTTTTATTGATTTTTTTTCAAAAGACAGGATTTTTTTTTCATTAATTTTTCTCTATTGCTTTTCTGTCTTCAAGGGCATTAATGTTTGCTTTAACACTTTTTCTTATTCTTTTTTTCTGGTTGCCTTAGGCTAGTATTTCTTTACTTACTCTAATTTTATAAGGTGGAATATCTTGTTTCTTTTCTAATATATATATATAATGCTATAACTTTCCTCTAAGCCCTCTTTTTGCTACAACTCACAAATTTTGGTAAGATGTATTTTTGTTTTCATTTAGTTCAGTATGTTTTTAAAATTTCTCTTGACATTTCTTTTTTAACCCAGGCATTATTTAGAAGCACATTATTTAATCTCCAAATATATTGGAATTTTCCATCTATCTTTCTGTATTGATTTCTAGCTTAAATCCACTGTGGTCTGAGGGCATACTTCTATATGATTTCTATTTTTTTAAAATTTGTTAAAATGTATTTTATGGCCCAGAAATATATTTTTATATGAACTTTCTAATCCCTTGGTCCTGTTTATTTATTTATTAGAGGAAATAAGATTGGCAAAATGTTAACATTTGTTAGGTCTGTGATTGTGAAAATCTCCCTCATGTGAAGATTTCTAAGATTACTTTAAAAACATAACAAATTTTCTGACACATAGTCAGGGATAAAACATTGGGATAAGCCATCATCATCATCATCAAACAAGATGGTTGTGGGTCTTTGCATCTCCTCCATCTTCAAATTCTTCCTCTCAGACATGCTGTCTTTTTTTTCTTTGACCATGCTGCATGACTTTCATGATCTTAGTTCCCTGACCAGGGATTGAACCCTAATCCTTTGTAGTGAAAGTATACTGAATTGCCAGGGAATTTCGGCTCCTTGCCATTATTATTTAAACATGTTTGTCTCCCTCCATCTCTCTTCCACTTCATAGTTTAGTCATATTTGACTTTCTTGATTGATAACTTCTTGTGTCTCCCTCTCGCCCTCTGGCTTCTGAGCCACCATCTCTCCTGGTTTCTCTCCAGTGTCTCTGATCACCCATTCTGTCTCCTCTGTGGACAGTTTTCCTCCATCTGAGTCATATACATTGGTGTTTCCCAGGGTCTCAGGTCAGCTTTCCTTCTATATACTGTCATTGGATGATCTCTTTCAGGCAGTCCAAGTTCAGTTACCATCCAAATCTGACTGGCTCCAAAATCTATAAACCCAGTCCAGTTTTATCTCATATGTTCAGAGACACATCTCCAACTGTTGGCCGCATACTTAAAACCCAGTGTCCCTAAAACTGAAATTTACAAACTGGTTCTTACAGTCTCCAGCTTCCCAGGTGGCTCAGTCATAAAGAATCTGCCTACCAGTGCAAGAGACTTGGGTTTGATCCCTGGGTTGGGACGATCCCCTGGAGTAGGAAATGGCAACCCACTCCAGTATTCGTGCCTGGAAAATGGACAGAGGAGCCTAGTAGGTTACTAATTCATAGGGTCATGAAGAGTCGGACATGACTGAGCATGCACACGTATACACACACTGATGGTTCCCATCTTGATGTAGGGCACCGCCAACTACCAAATGGCCTAAGCCAAAAGCTTCTTCCTAACTCAAACCTTCATCATCTCTTCTCTTCTTCTCTTAATTCAAGCCTCCTAACTCCTTTTCCTATCTGGAGTCTTTGTCCCTCCAATCTGTTCTCCTCCAAAATGATCTTTCTAAAGCAAGATCATCATGCCCTTTGCCTGTTTAAACTCACTCATTGAAAACTCAAAATGGATAAAAGATCTAAATGTAAGACCAGAAACTATAAAACTCCTAGAGGAGAACATAGGCAAAACACTCTCTGACATAAATCACAGCAGGATCCTCTATGACCCACCTCCCAGAATATTGGAAATAAAAGCAAAAATAAACAAATGGGACCTAATGAAACTTAAAAGCTTCTGCACAACAAAGGAAACTATAAGCAAGGTGAAAAGACAGCCTTCAGAATGGGAGAAAATAATAACAAACAAAGCAACAGACAAAGAATTAATCTCAAAAATATACAACCAACTCTTGCAGCTCAATTCCAGAAAAATAAAAGACTCAATCAAAAAGTGGGCCAAAGAACTAAACAGACATTTCTCCAAAGAAAACATACAGATGGCTAACAAACACATGAAAAGATGCTCAACATCACTCTTTATCAGAGGAATGCAAATCAAAACCACAATGAGGTACCATTTCACGCCAATCAGAATGGCTGCTATCCAAAAGTTTACAAGCAATAAATGCTGGAGAGGGTGTGGAGAAAAGGGAACCCTCTTACACTGTTGGTGGGAATGCAAACTAGTAAGCCACTATGGAGAACAGTGTGGAGATTCCTTAAAAAACTGGAAATAGAACTGCCATATGACCCAACAACCCCACTCCTGGGCATACACACTGAGGAAACCAGAACTGAAAGAGACATGTGTACCCCAATGTTCATCGCAGCACTGTTTATAATTGCCAGGGCATGGAAGCAACCTAGATGTCCATCAGCAGACGAATGGATAAGAAAGCTGTGGTACATATACACAATGGAATATTACTCAGCCATTAAAAAGAATACATTTGAATCAGTTCTAATGAGGTGGATGAACCTAGAGCCCATTATACAGAGTGAAGTAAGCCAGAAAGAAAAACACCAATACAGTATACTAACGCATATATATGGAATTTAGAAAGATGGTAATGACAACCCTATAAGCAAGACAGAAAAAGAGTCACAGGTGTATAGAACAGACTTTTAGATTCTGTGGGAGAAGGTGAGGAGGGGATGATCTGAGAGAATAGCATTGAAACAGGTATATTATCAAGTGTGAAACAGATCGCTAGTCCAGGTTGGATGCATGAGACAAGTGCTCAGGGCTGGTGCACTGGGAAGACCCAGAGGGATGGGATGGGGAGGGAGGTGGGAGGGGGGTTCAGGATGGGGAACACATGTAAATCCATGGCTGATTCATGTCAATGTATGGCAAAAACCACTACAATATTGTAAAGTAACTAGCCTCTAACTAATATAAATAAATGAAAAAAAAAAAACCCACTCTATGAATCTTTTCTAGGTAGAGATTCTATTCTCTACCTACTCACTATGCTATTCTCTTTCCCTTCCTCACCATTCTCTCTGCTCCCCCACAACCCCTAAACCACTTTCTGCTTGAAATAGATTTATAGTTCCCATGAATAGGCCTAGCTGTTTCACTTAGCCTCCACACTTCCGTACATTTTGCTCCCTATACAGGGACTGCTCTCCCTCCCTTCCTTTCTCAGTACTCAGGTCAGAGAGCCTCTCCCTGGGTAGCTCTCCTAGCTTAGCTTCCTCCCAGTTCCCCTCACCCATCTCTTGCTACTCCAACTTTATTACTCTGTGGTGGATTCTATCATCTATCACCTCCATGGAACAAAGAGCTCTCAAGAGCCCAGACTGTGCCAGCTGATCATTGGACCCACACTACCTGGCACATCATAGGTACTCAGAAAATGTTTGTCAAACAAGTGAACAAATGCCTATAGGTCAGGAACAGAGGGACAGAAGAGGCAGAGTTTGAGCAAATGACAGGAGTGTTTATTTGCCTTTACTCATGGGGTGGTTGGAGAATGAAATGGCAACACCCTCCAGTGTTCTTGCCTGGAAAATTCCATCATCGACAGAGGAGCCTGATGGTCTATGGCCCATGGGGTTGTAAAGAGTTGAACAGAACTGAGTGACTAACACTTTCACACATTGGTTGGAGGTCCTGGGCAGCACAATTTCGTTTCACCACTCAAATGTTGATATATTAAATAAATATATAGTTTATGTGGGCTTTCCCTCGTGGCTCAGATGGTAAAGAATCTGCCTGCAAGGCAGGAGACCTGGGTTCAATCCCTGGGTTGTGAAGATCCCCTGGAGGAGGGCATGGGGACCCACTCCAGTAGTCTTGCCTGGAGAATCCACATGGACAGAGGAGCCTGGCAGGCTACAGTCCATAGAGTCGCAAAGAGTCGGACACAACAGAGCAACTGAGCACTGCACAGTTTAAGAACCACTGCTGCTCTGATGCTCCTTTCTCACGCTTGCCCTCAGGGAATAGGAGGCCATAAGGGGCTGGCCGTCCCAACAGGCTCAGATTCCCATGTGGATTATGCTTAGTAACCATAAAGAAAATCTGAGCATTCTGTCCTGAGCAGTCTGTGGACTTCACTGGTAGGGCTGGGGTGGAGGTCCTCTGTGAGCTTTGAGAGGGAGTTAGCTCCTGGAGTCTTCTCTGGAGGGAGGGTCTTCTCCCTTTGAGATTGGTGCTCCTCTGTCTCCCTCCACCAGCAGATGTACTTGGGTCCTCAGGGCAGGGCTCAGGCCAAGTAGCTTGGGGACATTAGTTTTGTAGGTACCTGATTTCTTCCTCAGCTGGCACTTTGTACCTTTCAATGTGTTTGAAGTTTGGGCCATGACTTGCCTGATCAAAAGCTCCATTTCTATTTAGATTTTCTGCAAATGCTTTGCATCCCTCTTCTTCTGTGATTTCCATTGGCTTAGGGTCACTTCCTTTTTCAAGGCAGCCCATCCCTCGGGCAAAAGACCCTTTACAATCAGCAATCCAATCTTATCATATATTATATATTATAAAGAAATACAACATATTATTTAAAATCTTATACATATATTTTTCACATTCCTAGTTTTTCATTCTAAGAAATTCTCAGCCACTAGAAAATTCTACATACACTTATTGAAATTTCCTCTTGATTTTGTAATTTCCATCCTCAAATTGTTCAAGCGCCCAAGTAGTTGGGCAGGAAAGGGCCCCAGTTCCACTGCCTGTAGGACCCAGCAGGGCCTCCGCAGACCTTCTAACATGGACACTTCCCCTTGGGGCCCTGCCGTCTCCTCAGCTGCAAAGTCAGCCTCCAGCAGCAACCTCACCCTGCTTCGCTGGACCACAGCTTTGCTCAACTACCTACACCTCCTTCCTGGCTCTTGACACAGTTCACTCTTCTCTGCTTCTCACTCACTGTCCCTCTACCTGCTTCCTTGCTCCACTGGAACCCCTCCTACCCCTTCCTCAGAAGGCAGGGAAGAGAACTCTGCCTCACCTGCTCCTTTTTCCTTTGACACTGTCCACACAGACTTCCCTCTTCCCTCCCACATTCTCACGATTCTCTTCCAGTCTGTTGCTGCTGTTGTTGTTATTGTTTTACCTTTTAATATAAAACAAGTACATACTTAGCAGGAGACATTTGATAAGCCCTGGTTAAATTAAGATTCCTGGGGGCTTGACCTTCCAGGATATTGACTGTCGGCTGGGATTGGCTTAAAGGCAAAAGAAAAGGATTTGAAAACTCCATTCCATCTACTTAAGTGTTCCACTTTCACCAGAAAAATATTTTCTTAAGGGCAAAAATGAGAATTGTGAGCCTGATATCAACTAAGATCCTTTTGAGGTCCAGGCATTATTCCTCCTGCGTTATGTTTATCAGAATAGATTAAAATTCAGGAAACTATAGCAAAGTAATAATAATAAATTCTAACTGCAGAAAAATTTAAAACATGACTAAGTCAAAAGTAAAAATAAAAACTATCTGTAATTCCATCAACCAGCAACAGCATTTGGTTTCCTGATGCCCATGTGGAACATAGGCCTACAACCCCTCATCTATGATTCAGAAAGTAAAACCTTTTTGCTTTTGATTTTTAAGTTTGCAGCAAATTTGTTTGGCTGTGCAGCCTGATTCAAACTGAAGTAGTGCTGTTTACAGTCTTTAGTTATCACAGTTAGTGTGAATAGTCATGCTTCACTGCGGAAAGATTAATGGGTTTGGTTGCTGCCTCAGACAGACTGAATGTGTTCCATAATTGGGCACCTTTGTAAAATCTGAAAAATTCTAAATTCCAAAACACCCCCAGAGGTCAGAATTACGGACCTGAATACTAGAAAGAAGTGATGATGATAATAATAATTGTCATGATATATGACATCTACAATTTCCAGGTACTGCTCAGTCCACTACATATATTAATCAAATTCTTATAGCACCCCCACAAGGCAGGTACTATTATCTTCACATGAGAAGAGGATATATTGTACCTATTGTTTTATCCCTTGCTTTCTGCACGTAAAATGTCTTGAACATCTTTCATTTCAATGACTATTAATCAGAGCCTTATTTAGTGACTGCATTGTGTCCCGTTGTGTGATCATGCTGTCACTTAGCTAGCCCTCTGGTGTTGGACATTTAGATTGTTTTCACACCCTTTCTCTCTGATGCATTTCTCCACAAGATCTTTCTCTAGAAATCAGTCAGTTGCTCCTCTCACACCTTTGACTTTGAGGAAAGCATATGACACTACTCATCGGCTCCTTGAAAGGAAACCCATCCTGCTTCTTGAACATCTCCTTATATATATATATATTTTATCCTAAAAGGAACATGGTCACATCTCCATATGCCCTTATTGGATTTCCCAGTGTTTGGAGAATCCATTCTGCCATTATTGGGTCAGGATCTGAAATGATGTGACTCTCACTTCATGAAACACGACCTCTTCTGTTTCCTGCCCTTAACTCCTGGCAGTTCCGCCAGTCTACTTCCTTCATGTGACTTAGTTTCATAAAGTCAACATGTCATCTAGTTGACGTCTGATTCTTACTACTTAACCCTATATATTTAGTCAAATAGGTCCTTTTGGGGATGGCTTTTAACCTTGATTCCTTTCCCAGATTTGGCACTAAAATCTTTTGCATTTGGATTTGTTTCCTATGGCTGCTGTGATAAATTACCCCAAACTGAGGAGCTTAAAATAACAGAAATTCATCCTCACAGTTGAGGAGGCCAAAAGTCCAAAATCAAGGTTTGAGCAGGGTCTGGAGTCTAGGTGTTCTCAGAGTCAAGACCCCTTGAAGGCCTGGGGGACAATCCTGCCTCTTCCATCTCCTGGTGGTTCCAGGAGTTACGTGTAGGCTGCGTATCCCAGATCTCCATCTCTGTCTTCACATGGACTTTTTGTCCCTCTGTCTCTCTCCCACGTCTCTCATGAGGACACTTGAGATTGGATTTAGGGTCCACCGGGTAATTCAGGATGATCTCACCTTGACATCACATCTGCATACACCTTTTTGCCAAAGTAGGTCATATTCACAGGTTTCAGGGGTCATGACATGGGCATACCTTTCAGGGGCACCATTGAATCCATGACAGCACCACTCTCCCCAAATCTAAGGATTGATTTTTCTCCCTTCATACTTTCAGAGTAGAATCTCTTGCCCTCCTTGCTCCCATCCAAGGTAGCCCATCCCCCTCAGAGATGTTTCACTCATGTGGAGCTTATGCGGTTTAAACAATGGCCATGAGAAAAAATGGTTTCTTTGTTTGGCTAATCTACAAAAGAATCCCAAACCAGTTCTCTCACATACATTAAATATATTTTCTGTATCAAACTAAGTGTTGCTACTTATGCTAAAACTATGGACAACTTTTTTTCTTTACTGTAAGGACCAAAGGTTACATTCCAAGGAGAAGGAAATTCTTTCTTGAGTGTCTGCAACATATTAAGTGCTGTTACATTACCTTGTTTAACTCTCATAACAACCCTGAGACTTACAGTCCATTTTCTCTGCCTTAGAGAATTGAAAACTGAGGCTCAGAAAGGTTAAATAACTTGTTAAAAATCACACAGTAACTAGCAGGATTCAGCTCTGTCAAACCTAATGGCCCTTAGATCTCATCTCTACACCAAACTGCCTTTCGAGTTTTTATAGATAAGTGCAGCACGAAGATAGTAAATGACTCAGAGGTCACTAATGATAGTGACAAGACCAGAAGCTTGACTCAACAGCCAGTTCATTGTTCCTTCCATCGCGCCACACTGTCCACATAGAAGAGAGGTTATCATTTGAAATGACAGAAGGACATGCACCCTGATTGAGCTCGGAAAGTGTCTGAACTTTGGTAGGTCTATTCTGTCTCCACTGCTGGGTAACAGATGCTCCTGGACCAGTCATTTGGCACCTTTGAAGTTCAGCTTCTTCCTCTGTAAAATGACATGATAATGAAACACCTCCCCACATAGCTGAGAGGATTAGAGAATGCATGCTAATGTATAGGGAGTGAAGGTGTTCCCCAAATAGTAGCTGTGACAACTCTGTATATTGCAATCCAATGTCACTTTAAAATTAAAGATTTTTTAAATTATATAAGAAAAAGAGATTCATGTGTATAGTAGAGTATAAAGTAACACCTCTCCACTCCCCAAAGATCCTAGCCCTTGTCTGTGGAGGTAGGTATTGTTAACAGTATTTTCAGTATGATTCCACAATTTTTTTGTGGATTTGTAAGTATATATTCACCAACTCAATGGACAGGGGTTTGGGTAGACTCTGGCAGTTGGTGATAGACAGGGAGGCCTGTCATGCTGCAGTTCATGGGGTCTCAAAGAGTCGGACACGACTGAGTGACTGAACTGAACTGAACAGAAGTATATATTCATTCATTGCACAAATAGGTTCATACAAATTCACAGCTTACTTTTTACTAAATCATTGCTCCAGATGTGTTCTCAGGAAGCAGACTCTGAGACAGACTTTAGGGTGCCACATGCTTACTAGGAAGTGCTCTTGGAAGTAACATCGGTGGAAAGGAAGGAAGGCAGGAGCAAGAGTGGACAGAAGTCAAGATCTTGGACAGCCTTGGACTTCCCTCATGGTCCAGTGGTTAAGAATCCACCTCCCATTGCAGGGGACAGAGATTTGATACCTTATCTGAGAAGATTCCACCTGCTGCAGGGTAACTAAGCCAATGCCCCACAACTACTGAGCCCAAGAGCTGCAGCTACTGAAGCCCAAGCACCCTAAAGCCCCTGCCCTGCAACAAGAGAAGCCATCAAAGTAAGAAACCCATGCACCATAACTAGAGTAGCACCCACTCACCACAACTAGAGAAAGCCCATATGTAGCAACGAAGACCCAGGCCAGTCAATAAATAAAGTATTAAAGAAAAAAAAAAAAAGATTTTGGATAGCCTCAGTCAACCCTACTGGAGCTGCAGAGTTAACCAGACCATCAGAATTGCCCCATGCCTTGTTGGTCCCGAAGACCTGGACTTCAGCACCCTCCACACCTCCACTATCAGTGGGCCAGCCTGGGAAGGCCTGCCCTGGGACAAGGCAACTCTCTGCAGCTGAGGCCATCTGTGCCGGGGTGACAGTTAAGCTGCTGCTGCAGTTGGACAAGTCCTTCTGATTGGGTATCCATCAGTACATTCTGTGCCCACTTAACATCTTAGTAACTTAGCAAGACACAGCCTGCAGCTGCCCACAATGCCACCAGAAAACTCAGCTGAAATAATGGTACCCAACCACCATGGCCTATTTGTCTAATGGCTGGAAGACCTATGTCCTACAGACCTAGCAACTGAAGCTTCTTGGGGCTGTGTAAACTTAAAATTAGTTTTATGTGAGTTTTTACTGTCTGGGGACAGTCACTTTACCTTGTCTTCCCCTTTTGACAGCAGAACTTTTGGTTCCTCTTTGGCTGGGAATATGGTGAAGGCTGGGGGAGGGGATGCAATT